GTCATTTTTGTACCCCAAATATACCCTCTTGAGGATTCTCCTTCCTTTTTTTATTAAAGGGCTGTTCCATCTCTTCTGCTGCAGCCACTGCAATTAGACCCAACTGTACTGTTTGTTCAGCTGGGCTCCCTCAAGTCCCTGCATAGCTTTAAATATGTGGTGACAACAGCCCCCTCACAGTTCAGACTCTGGGCAAAGGAAACACGTGGATGGTGGATGACAAAAACGTGATTTCTCTGGCCCAAGTACTCCAGTCAGACCTCTGGATGTGAAAATATCTAGCCCCCCATATGGGGGTCATTGGTGTACCTGCATAGAAAAAAAATCAACTATTGGTTTGGAAAGAAAAAGAAGTACCATTTCCGGAGGGTTTAAAAAATCCGATAATAAGTAAATGGCAAAATGTGAAGGCTCACTATACACAAAACATTACTATTTATGGTAAAAAATTACGAAGATGTGCACCATTGAATCATACACTCATCTGACGGAGGAAAGTATGGTGGCTGATAGGAGAGTCATATTACATGTGTCCGCCATATTTTCAAAAGAACATTTCAGAGGACCTGACCAGCTGAAAATCCCAGAAGATGCAACTGCATTCACCAAGCTAAACCCCAACCTTGCCTCAAGCAGAACTGACTGACCCATGAATGGGTAGGCACGTGTTAAGCAAGTGAATGAGTAGGGAAGACAATGTGCAAAAAATAATGATGATGAAACAGAGATATGAGACAGAATTCGAGAGGAGAATGAAAATGAACTACTATGCTCTTTGGACTTATTGTTTGCAATTCCAGTCACGCATGAGACCCTGCTCTAGTTCCAACTCTTGGCCTTCAAGACTTTTCGTATAGTTTATTTATGCATGATAGCTTCTTTTATATAACTTAGCTTGAGTATATTTCTAGTTCTTGCAACCATTCTCAAACTAAGACCCAAACCCAAGTTAAAGTTATGACAATCTGACCAATTTTATTACGTCTTTGATTCTGATGTATTTCTTGATCTTCAGGCTCAAATAGCCAGCATTCTATTTGAAATCTTCATTATATATCTAATATTATCTTAGACTTAACTGTCTGTAACATGTCTTATTTTCTTTAGAAAATGTAAATATGATCCCCTACCAAGTTTCTCAATATGCACCAAAATTTACCCAGGTGCACAGGCCAAAATCGTGGTGGTCATTTTTTTTTTTAGTCCTCACCTGAGGATATGTTTTTACTGATTTTAGAGAGAGAGGAGGGAGAGAGATAGAAACATTTATGTGCGTGAGAAACATCATTCAGTTGTCTCCCATACACTCCTCGACCAGGTATGGAACCTATAACCTGGGTATGAGCCCTAACTTGGAATCAAACCCAAAACCATTTGGTGCTTGGGGTGATACTCTAAGCCACTGAGCCACCTGGCCATGGCTCTAGTGGTCATTTTTGGCTCTTTTATTTTCTTCATGTATCTCATTTGACTTGCCACTATGATAGACGTTACTACTAATTATCAATATCCAGTTGCCTCTATTCTGAACATATGAGAGGATTGCATTTCCCTGCCCCCTTGGTGCCTTGCCCTGGATAATGAAATGTGAGGGAACGTTATATGCATCATCCTTTGTAGAAGCATTTAAGGGCTGTTACTTTTGTCTATCTTTTCCTGTCTTGTGATAGAGGATGTTTCATATGGTAGAATATCTGTCAGCCTGGGTTTCTGACTAAGCTAGAGCCTTTTGCTGACTCAAAATATACAAATAGGGTGAGCAAAAATTAAACCTTTGCTATTCTACGGCACTGAGGTTTGGATGTTTTTTTTTGTAACGGTAGTATAAGCTAGCCTACCTTAAAATAACCCCCAATTCTCGTTGACTCTATTGTCAAAATATATTACAAACTTAATGTTGTCACCTCCTCTTCTATCATCACTGTATTCCAAAGACCGTCATCTCTTGCCTAGATTTTTTGCAGGAGCCTCTTAATCTTCCTTTTTCTACTCTAACATCTCTCAAATCTACTCATTCTCCAGGAAGTAGCAAGACTTTCTGTCTTTTTAAAGATAAATCCAATTATGTCATTCCTTGCCCAAGCCCTCAGCAAATTCCAACTGGACTTAGAATAAAAATCAAAGTCTCTCCCAAAACTCCAACACTCTATGATGTGACCCCTACCTATTTGTCCCAAGTTTATCTCCTGTCATTCTTTTATCTCTCTGCTTCAATTACACCATCTCTCTTACCATTGCTTGCAAACAGTATTAAACTCATTCTCCTCTCAAGGTTTTTCTCTATTTGCTACCTCTATGTGAAATGTTCTACTACAAGATTTCTGGGAGGCTTGGCTTGCTCCTTCGAATCATATAAATCTTTGTTCCAAGAGTACATCCTCAGAGTAGTCTCTACATTATCTAAAACCACACACCCCTATAACTAACTATCCAATTACCTGTTTTACTTATAGTATTGGAACTTTATTATTTTTTCATTTGTTTATGTTTCACTTTTTCTGGACTATGAACATCATAAAGAAAGAATTATGTTTTTTTTCATGTTATGAACTTTGTATCTAGAAAAGTTTCTTGTGCTTAGTGGAATTCAATAAATATTTATCAAATGAGTAAATAAATAAGTAAATAAATAACAAACAATCAGAATGTCAAAACAATAGTTTATTGAAGAGACAACTGAGTAAGAAGTAATACTTTCATAAATCCTTAACCAGTGTTTGTTTGTTAACAGAGCAAAAGATAAATCAAAATAGTGCTAATCAATTTGTATAGCTTTTTCCATGTCTTACCACTTACAAACCATTTATGAAAGTAAAACCTGATTGTTCAAGCTAACTTGTTAAAATTAGCCAATGTATATTTTTAAACATATTTTTATTGATTTTAGAGAAGAAGGGAGAGGGATAGAGAGAAAGAAACATTAATGATGAGAGAGAATCATTGATTGGCTTCCTCCTGCATACCCCACAACGGGGATTGAGCCCACAACCCAGGCATATGCCCTGACCGGGAATCAAACCATGACCTCCTGGTTCATAGGCTGATGTTCAACCACTGAGCCATGTGAACTGGGCTAGCCAATGCATATTGGAACAGTAAGCCTTCTAAAAGAGAATTAGCATGGCTTGTGTTTAAAGTTGCAGTAGCAATAAAAGTGTTTCTCAACTCAAATTATCTACATTTTCTACAATAGACCCAAGAAATTAGCAAGAAAAGAATATGAAAGTGAAAGAACAGACTCAAATACATAGTAGGCTAGTAAAGAAATCAGAGCAAAAACCATGAAGTAGGAAGTACTAAGATAACAAATGTCTATGGAAAATAACTTTCTGAGTAGTTAACTAAAAGGAATCCATCAGTAGAACTCATCAATAAGGTATAAATATGACCAACATGTTTGCTCTTCATTATCACCTCCTTGATATTATGTGTGGTTATGTGTACTTCCATCACATGCCAATATGACACATGTGAATTTCTATCCGTGGGAGCATCCCATTAGTTTAGAGTAAATAATGGATTTGCACCATACACCAGCTCATTTATCAACTTTTACTCATGAAACCCTCTACATTTTTGCAAAACAGATGGTCCAGGTGAGGAGTCTTTATTATGATCAAGAGATATATCGAAAATACTGCCTTTCAAAGGGTTTAACTTTCTTTCCCTTGCCTCAGGAGCATTCCAAGGAGGAATGACTGTGAGAGTCAGGAGGGGTGAGTCAAGCTCTTGTCTCTGTGACTCTAAAGGCTTGAGTGTGTCATTTAACTTTGTGATTCTAGATGAGAATAAGAAAAACAATACCTATCCTAGATTTTTCATAAGATTGTCATGAAAATGATACTTGTCAAAGATATGTTTTGCAAACTGGCTATTTCAGAATTCTTTATTCTGCTTCTTTGGGGTTATTAAAATTATCCTCTAAATTGAAGTTGTCATATGTATACCTTTCAAAGTAGGGGGAAACTAAAGAGCAAGCGATAAAATGCATATGCTTTGCCATCTGGTCTTCACTTCTATTTGAGATAGCAATGTCTATAATTGTTTAAGAAATATTGAAATTACTATCATTAGCAAAATATGACACTGGTATTTTTTAAACACACAAAGGCACCAAGAGTTATCTCTCATTAGGAAACTCTAACAGTTTATTTCCAAACCCAAACATTTCCAAATAATCCACCCATTACCCAAGGCAAAAGCTACTAAATTCATGGTCCATCATAAATGGAACAGCATTTTTTATAGTACTCATCTGAATATCTGAGAAGGAAAACAAAATCAGAAGAAAATGCACAAGACTGTTCATTGTATGAAACTTATTTGCTATTAATTGCCAAACCTCTGAACCTCTGATATCTGAACTTCCACAGTGCTCTACTTATTGTATTGCTTTGTTTACTTGAGTAACTTTCCTGTTTATCGAAAAAAAATCCCAAAGATATTAATAAATAAGCAGAATAGGGTGTGTGATGAATACTCTGATGGAAGCATTTTGTTTCATAAAAAATCCTGATCAAGACCATTTAACTATCAATAATCCAAGTCTACTCCAATCTCATACTCAAAAGTTACTTTATGAAAGAGATTAGTTATATATAAAGAAAACTCAGGATGCAACAATTTTACTCTATACCAGGAATCTCCTGTCAACCAAGATAACATAACTTTCTAAGGAAAATCTCTCATTCTTCCTCTTAATGAAATACATCCTGTTCTCTCTCTTACATAGAAGACCTATACTATTGAAAGATATAAAAATGAGGTCATTGCTAAGTGAATCCAATCATTTTGCCTCTTCACCACCAAAACCAATCAATGTAATCCCTACAGTAAGTTAATTACAAGAAAATACTCAATTACTCGTGGTACCTGAATGAAGCATGATCATCTAGCTTTGGCTCAATGACTAGGCCTACTTGATATTTATAAAATTCATTTATGTGATTTTTGGAAATTACACCACCTTGAATGTTCAGTGATTGTGTAGTTCTCCCTACCTCATGGTGATTCTTGGCCAGCCATTCCTTAATGGTACTGAGGGCAATCACTGCAGCAGGCTCGTTCGGGAAACCTAAGAGGAGAGCAGAATAAAGAAATAAAGAAAAAAGATGAAGGCAACACAGAAGTCAATCAGTATGATACTGGATTTTTCTCATTTAAACAGTAGTCAATTCAACCAATTAGTACTGAAGAAAGCAGGAGGGCCTAAGTAAGGCACACACAGATTCAAGGCCTGTGATCCTACAAACTAGGCATTAAGGGAACTAGTCCTACACCAAAATAAAGCCAAAAGCACTAAAGAATTTAATTATCTCTCTAATTTGAAACAACATCAATTAAACATGTCCTAGCTGGTTTGGCTCAGTGGATAGAGTGTCGGCCTGTGGACTGAAGGGTCCTGGGTTTGATTCTGATCAAGGGCACATGTCAGGGTTGTGAGCTAGATCCCCAGGAGGGAGCATGCAGGAGGCAGCCAATCATTGATTCCCTCTCATCATTGAAGTTTCTATCTCTCCCTCTCCCTTCCTCTCTGAAATCAATTTTATATATTATAAATATCAATTAAACATTATTTGCATTTGCTTGATAGTTTTCAAAGCCATTTTATATAATTTTCTCATAAGGGGTGCTCAAATTAAGATTTATTACTCTCTTATTACTCTAAGTTTATAAATTGAGCCAATACGGTTCAGAGAATACACATGGTTGACCCAGGGTCACAAGGCTAACAGGACTCCATCAATAAACTGACAGAAGACAGGACAACTTGCCAAATAGCCATACAATTGAAAGTTATCATCAGAATTCAAAGGAGGCAATGCCTGCTTCATTTAGGGCCACTGGAAATTATGTTTGAGATTCAGACATCATGAGCTGACCTGGTTTGATTGTATGGCTTTGGTTTTAAAATGGCAGAAAGACTGACATACTTATAACGATGTCCCAGTGAGCATGAGCACATATCAAAATTTCACAAACTCACCCACAATGAACACATTCCTGAACTTGCAGAACCATCAGACATTTTGCAACAGATAAAAGTATGCGAAGGAATAACCGTCTGAGTTACAATTTATGTAGCAGAAAGGAGAAGAAATGGGAGTGACCATTCTGTTGAAACTACTCCCTTTAAGTTCCCCACTGGCTTCCTAATCACCAAGTCCCATAGGCTTTCAATCAGCCTTCATCTGCTTCACTATTATATGGCCTTGACTACTTATCCATGGTCCAATCTCCTTCACCCCTGGATTTCCCTTAAGTTTATTTTTCAGTGTTTTAAACATAAAACTGAGTGATTTTTTAAAATATGTGCACAAATTTGTATAAGCATCACCACTAATTCCAGAATATTTTCATCATCCCAAAAGTCCATATTAACAGTCACTCCACAATCTCCCCTCTCCCCAGACTCTGACAACTATTAATCTTTCTTTCTCTTATATATTTGCATATTCTCCTCCTGGATTTCAACCCTGCCTTCTTCTATGTTTCCTCCTACCTGTTTGACTTCCCCTGGCTCCTTTTCTCTAGGAGCATTTATTAAATGTATGTCACTCCAGCTTTCTGCTTCCTCTACTCTCTGCTCTAGCCAGGTGCAGCAACAAGTCCTTGAGGAGGTCTAGTCAGGGAGGCTCCTGTGACATTGTCAGTGCAGATGCAGAAAGAGCGAGGTGTTACTGAAATGGAGAGAACTGAGATTTAAAAGACCCAGTTTTATCCTGGCCAGGTGGCTTAGTTGGTTGGGGCATTGTCCTGTACACCAAAAGGTTGTGGGTTCGATTCCTGGTCAGGACACATATCTAGGCTGCAGGTTCAATCCCAAGTCTGGGCATGCAAGGGAGGCAAACAATCAATGTTCTCCTCTCACATCAATGTTTTTCTCCCGCTCTCTCTCCCTTTCTCTCTCTCTAAAACCCGTAAACATCCTTGGGTGAGGATTAAAAACTAAAAATTAATTAATTAAAAACAGTTTTATAGGAAGGTAAATACATATTGCAGTCGTTTATACTAATAATTTAAATGTCAGTGACTTTTAGAGAAGATGTGTGTGAAAGAAGTTGTTTTTCCTTATTCCTGAGAAAAAAAAAATGTTCCTCTTCTAACTAGGTTTCTGCCTGCTTTGTTAGGGTGTGCATTAGGAAAGGGGACAAAATAAACAAGGGCCAAGCTCAACTCAAGTACTGTTATACAACAGTCAGAACCACTGTAATATGAAAAGTATGCATAAGTTCTTGAAACTTTGTAAATTTATCTATGATATTTAGGATTGTGGATTTGTTTTGAATTCTTTCATCCCATTCATTTTCCTTAAATGGAGGCTTCAGAATGTAAAACTCTTCAAATCAGAAAAAGCTATTAATTAATCAATTTCATAATCCATTAAACAAATGATTAAACCAGAGGAGTCTAGATCACAGACCCTTTGAAAGAATCCCTGTCCTCTAAAGCCCAAAGTCTGGAGGACAGAACTGACAAGGGGTAACAGCAATAAAGCACGCCAAGGGCATTTGGGATGTGGGGACACAGGTAAAGAGAACTAAGAAAGAAAGGGGGAGAGGTTCTAGGAAACAAAATGTTTGGGGAAGGGGGCTATAGGTGGAGAGAGGAGGAGTAAGCTTATGAAGCTCTGACCAGATAGCTCAGTTGGTTGGAGCATCATCCCAATACACCAAGGTTGCAGGTTCGATCTCCGGTCAGGGCACAGACAAGAATCAACCAATGAATGCATAAGGGGAACAACAAATCAATGTTTCTCTCTCTCACTCAAATCAATACTTTTTTTAAAAAAAGATAGATATAAGCTTAGAACAGCAAGGAGTTAATGGAAAGGATGAGGGGAAAGGGAGAGGGAAGAAAGGAGTACCTGTGGGCTGCAAAAAAAAAACAAAAAACAAGGAGGCCAAGATGGGCATTTATGATTAGAGCACTTTTGCAATTCATCTTCCCCCTGAGTTTACCACCTGCATCTGTCATCAGCTGGATACCTCCCCTAGATGTGCTCCAGAAGCAGAAATGTAACGTCCATTCTTCTGCCAAATGAACCCCTTCCTGACTGCAGTTTTTGCCTATGGCTTTACTTCTCTACCAGTCACTACAGTATACGACCCTCATTCCTGTTGGTAACTGAGTCCGCAAAGCATTGCCCTTTGAAATATCTTATACGACCCTTTCTTTACCTTCTTTTCTGACTGATCTGATCTGCCTCATCCTGACAACTGCAGCCAAATCATAATTGTGCTCCTTCCGGCCTTCTCCCCTTCTGCAATCTATCTAGCACGCCTCTGGCAAGTGATTCTTCCTATAGTGACCACAAGCTTCCACCAAACAATGGCAGCCTTTGCTGACTCTCCAGTCCCTGCAGAGTAAACTTTCTCTTGGCCTTGAATTCTATATCCCGAGGGACCTTTCTAGACTTACACTTTAGTTTTCTTTATTTATTCTCTTCACCTGAAAATTCTTCTCCAACTTTTTGATATGTCCATGAAGCACTTAAATCATAAAATTATAGGGCCTTATAAAGCTAATAAATACTGTAATCACATTCAGTTGCAATGGCCATTAGCATTAACCTTTAGAAGATGTAATGCCCAACAGAGAAATCATACAAATTCTTGCAGAGCCATGGCCACAATGGTCAGTTCTCAATTATTTGTGACCCCCTGGTCATTTCCCCACATTCATCAAAGCCTTTGGCACTGAGTTATGGTTTTCTCCACCTCAAGGTTTGCCATAATCCCTGGGTGATTTCAGCATCCAAGAAATGATCCACCCAATGCCTGGCCTGCCAGGTCTTTGACTTAGTTATTGTCAACAAGAACTTCCACTCCACCTCTTCCCCAGATCACAAGCTGGACCTGGATGTTACATTTCCATTCCAAAATTACTAATTGAAGCAGTCCTTTCTCACCATCTGTTCTCTCTTGTATTTTTGTTCAGCTACTTTCCAAGGAATGCTCTTTACAAGCATTTGAAGGCTGCTCTGTCCCCCAAACATTCCCCAAATTAATGCTAATGTTTCTCCCCTGAATGGTCTGAATCGTTTCTGTCTCTCCAGGCTCATCCCATTTGCTATTGCTCTTCGCTTTCTTACCCTCATCACACTGGCTTTTTTTCTGTCCTTTGAATGTGGCGTGTTTCCTTTTGCCTTCTTGCCAAAAGGGCTTGCTCATGTTGTCTCTTCTTCCTCAAGTGACATTCCCCTTTTCTCCTAGCTTATTTTAACTTTTACTGGGCCTCTGCTTAGTCTTTCTCCAGGGAAGGCTTCTCTGACACTGATAACGCCCCATTTTGTGCTTTCATAACACTGTGTACCTTTCTCTCAGAGAACTCATTATACTTGCAACTTTACATTTACTTATGTAAATAATTAATATTAATAGAGTGAAAGCCCTAAGGAGGTAGATATCACACCTGATTTTGCTTATCACTGTATCCCTAAAGCACTGCTGGCACACAAACGATGATAAGTATAAGTTGAATTAGTGAATGGATTGTGGACTCATAAATATTTGTATTGATAACAGAAAGAGCTAAGTGCTAGGAGAACAAGTTTGTTTAGCCCTAGAGTTTGGGGAGCGTGAAGGAATTCTGAGAAGCTGCCTAAGCAGAATGATATATCCCAATTATCCTATTTCTTCCCTAAGGAAAATTATTGAGAAGATGCATAAGATAAAACATAATTCCTGCTCAGAAAATATGCTTATTAATTAAACAAATAAGCATAAAATGGTAATTAAAAAGGGGAGAGAATTACCAAGGCAATTATCTCTGAAAATATGTCTGCTTTCAGTGTGCATATACAAGATAAAGTATGATGTCAGAAAAAACAGCAACATCACAGTGCTTCGTCGGCTTAACTGCAAGACACCAAGGGTTACAAGGAAACCAATGAATAGATGACAGATTTTTGCCAGGGGATGGGCTTCTGATGACAGTTAGGCCCGCCTTAGGAGGTCACAGCTATATTCTGATCACCAAGGGACTTTTGTTCACAAAAACAGAATGGCCACCCAGAGGGAAGGAAGCAGACAAGCTTGAGATGTGTTATTGAATGAGATGACATAGAAAATC